TAAAGTACATGATATAAAGCAGAAATAGCTTTCCAAACGTACTGTAATTATTTAGAGCTAGAATAATAGTAAATTTTAAAAGAAAAAAGAACGTCAGTGATAATTTGACAATGCTGGGCATGTGGTGCTCCTGTTACCTGGTGTAATAAAATAAAGAATCTGGCATCTGCCAATAATGAGAAACGGAACTGGAGCAAAATATTCAGTTTATAATAGTGACAAAAACTAGAAAATTCTTAGAAATAAATTTTTAAAGGAAAGTATAGGACCTATGTGAAGCAGACTAAAATCTTCCTGAAAGATATAAAATAAGATCTACGTAAAGTGAGAGACATTTTCATTTTGGATGTGAGGAAGACTAATATAAGAAAAATGTCTCTTCTTCCCAAATAAATGAGATTAGTTATTGCATTCCAACCTGAATCCCAAAAAGCTTAAAAAAAAAATAACAGGCAAAATTGCTTTAGAATTAAGATAGAGGATTAAATATCTAAAAGTGACCAATAATTTCTTTAAAAGAAGGATTGAGAGGGGCTTACCTTTCCAATTATTAAAGCAGTATCAAATGATTGTGCCTATGGTTGATAATACTGTGTCACTCTTGTATAATGGAAATTTCAGGGTTTTTTCCCCAATGCTCATACAGGTCTAGATGGATGTAGGGCTGGCTTTATTTTAGAATACTAGAAATGTAAATTCCAGTTTGGTGGTTACACCCATGGATTCTGAAGTCAGACTGTCTGGATTCAAATTTATTGGCTCTGCAAGCTCAGACATCTTAATATCTTGATGCCTGGTTTTGCCTTTGTCTAATGGAATAATAACAGAACCTTTCCATGGAGTTGCTGTGAGGATTAAATGACTTAATCAAAACAACAACAAAAACTTAGGATAGTAGGCATCCTACTGTACCCATGAAGTAATTTTTCTAACTTTTTTCCCGCTTAACAATAGATCTTGGATATCCCTCCAACGTCCCTATAGATTTAACTCACTCTGTGAATAGCTGCCTAGCATTCCCTGGTCTGGATAAACCAAGGATATAGTTTTTTGCAATCTTTCGCCTATTGATAGACATATGGAGTTTTACAGTTTACCAGTACACACAATGCTACGATAAATACCCATGACTGTACAGCCTTGGAAATTGGTGTATTATATTCCTCTAGGATAAAAACCCCAGAGGTGAGATTGCTGGGCAAAAAGATCTCTCTTATTTAAACAGAAATTACCAAATTACTTTCTAAACTATTAGTAATAAGCCAACATGCACAAATAATATATATTTGTCCCTTTTTTCTGCATCCTCACCAGAACTGGATGCCGTAACACTTTTAAAGTTTTGCCAAACGATGACCAAAAAATGGAATCTTGTTTTCATTTTATTTAAAATTTCTAAACAATTAATGAAATGGATCATTTTTTCATATATTTATTGGTAGTTTCCATTTCCTTTCTTATGAAATGCCTGTTAATATTCTTTATCCATTGTTCAATAGGATTGTATGTCTTTTCCTTATCAATTTATGTAAAAGGGACAAAGGAACACTTTGTTTATTACATGTGTCGGAAAATATTAAATTTTTCCCAGTCTATCGTGTTTGTTTTTGGACTTTGTGATATCTCGCATCCTTTTGTTTTCTGCTTTTATGTAGTCAAATATAGCTATTTTTACTTTATAGTTTTTGGTTTTCCTGTATTTCTAGTCTTTACAAAGAAATTCTCTTTGTACTGGATAATAAAAATATCCTTTTAAATTTCATATAGTGTGTTTATTTTATTTATAATCTTCAAGGTCTTCAATCCATCTGTAGTCTATTTGTGTGTGAGGTGGGGGCAGAACTTCCCATACGGATGGATGAATAATTAAGGCAGCACCGCTTATTACACAAACCACCCTTCATCCATTTTTTCTTAAGTTCTCAAGTATATTTTGATCTGTTTCTGGGTTTTCTGTTCTATCCTTCCTATCAATTTTTCTAGTCCTGTGCTAAAACTGTCTGAATTACAGTCCTTTTATTTTTTATTTGTATTGTTTGGTTTGCAAAATGTTTTCAATTTACTTAACATGTTTTCTTTTTTCTTTCAGCTTTATTGAGGTACAATTGAGAAATAAAACTATAAGATATTTAAAGTGTACACCATGATGATTTCATATACATATACAATGTGAAAGGACTCCTCCCATTAGTTAGTTAACATATCCATCATCCCACGTATTTATCTTTTTTTTTTTTTTGGTGAGAACATTTAACTTCTACTCTTAGCAAATTTCACTTGTGCAATAGTGGTACAGTATTATCAACTGTAAGCACAGTCATTTTATATTGTTTTAACAGTTGATACAGATAAAGAAGAGGTTCAAAGTCTGAGCTCTGGGCACTCAAACATGAAGAGGATGAGTTAAGAGAAACAAACGGCAAAAGAAACTGAGGAAGCAACCAGAGAGGCAGGATGAAAACCAAGAGGATGTGGTATGCTGGGAGAGTGTTAAGGAAAAGGGAGAGCAGCTGGTAGGTCTGCTGACAGGGCAAGGTCTGAGGTTTGACCATTGTCATTAACAACATGGAGGTCATTGGTGACCCTGATAAAAGCAACGTCAGTGGAGTAACGGGGTAAAACCTGATTGGAGGGGATTCAAGTGGAATAAAAGGAAAGCAATTGGAGATAGTAAATATAGACAATTCTTTCTAGGAATCTTGCTACAAATGGAAAGGAAAAGAAATGGGGCAGTAGCTAATGAGTTAACAGAGGTATTGTTCTCTGTAAGTTAACATTTACAATGTACTATTTACATATTACATATGTAATTATGTTACTACACAAAGGCCTTGAGCTAGCAAATAAAATGAGACTTTTAAAAGTGCAATTCTGTGGATCCAGTCATTTTTCAACACTGCATGGCTCTAGATTTGCAAAGTAAACCTGGGGAAGCAGATATAGTTAACACTTTCTGCACCTATGCAAATAATCAAGCCAAACCTAACGAGACCAGCTTTTTCTCATGACCAAGAATAATCTTTGAGATTCTTATGGTCACAAAGGGGGAAGTTGTTAGGAAAATTGGAAAGACTTTGAAAGGGGCAAAAAAGACAACTGGGTATACTTTGAATGAAATACTAGATGTCCCTTCTGGGTTATCTGATGCTATACGCATTTTGCCTTTTTTTTTTTCTTGGTCTTTGAGCTATTTTATAACCCTGTAAATTGCAGAAAACTAATGGAGACATGATTATTGCCCAGAGAAGCAATAAATTCTGCTGGTGGAGCTGCAATTTATTTCCCCCATGGAGAGGGCCACTTTTGCATCTGTTAGCAGATTCACGTCAGCATTCCTGATTGCTTATATATGTGTCTGTTCCTTGAATTCTTGGAATCATTTTTTTTAACATCTTACTGTTCCTTCGTTAATAATGAGCTAAATAAAAATTTTGAGACATGACTGCCTTCTGTCAGAGTCATAGTTTTACACTTGTAAAGAAAACATTTTTACCCATATGTTGTGTTTAAAGTCTTTAATATTTTTGAGCTCTCTTTAGATGGAAGGGGTCATATAGGGATCTAGCTTTATTTCCTTCAAAAAGCTAGTCATTTTTTCACCATTTATTGAGTAACCCTTTTCCCCTATGGATTTAAAGGCCACCTTTCTGGTGTTATTTGGTCCATTTAAGTGTTCTCTATTATGATCTATTTATTTATTTCCACATCAATACAAATCTAAGTTCAATGGCTTTATAAGACATTTTGATAATTTGACAGGTTATTTTCATGTTGCACTGATCCTGCCAAAGAAGAGACTGTCCTGCTGATTTGGATTAGTCTAAAATTGAAACTAATGAAAGATAGAAAATGGGTATACAAAAAATTGGCCCATTTGTTTGGGCCCATCAACCCCTTCCAGACTATCCTAACCAGGAAGAACACATTATGAATCTAGAAGGGAAGTGAACAGGTCCCCTGAGTTGCAACGTTAGTCATAGATTATTCCATAGGGGAGGTGGAGAATAACCCAGACCTAGACGATTATGTGTAAATAGGGAAGAACAGAACAGCATTAGCAGACACTCATGAAGCGATAGTGGAAGAAGCCAGAACTATCTAAAGCACTGAAGGCCCGGACCTTTGGATCTAGAACAAAACCTGCTGATGTTCACAACAGGCTTTTAGATGCACACACTTTAACAACTGCTTGGGTTTGAAAGTGATAATTACTCACACTCTTTGCCCCTGGGGTTTTGCTCAATTAAGAAATAGACACAGGAGGCACCGTTAAGGATAAAAATATCAGCTTTATTGCTAATGAAGCTAGATTGGAGCACATGGCTTGGACTCCTGTGACCCAAATTTCCACCTTGAAATCCACAGGTGCAACCCATATGGCCCTGCAGAAGGGGCTGTCACCCAGGAAGCTCAGGGAGGGTCAAGACCGGACTCACACCGAGTCACAGCATGAAGTTCTAGGCTGTTTGTCACTAACCCTGTCCGCAAGAAGAATTTGGCTATCAGACTCTGGCCACCTTGCTGGGATGATCAAACTCCTAAGATCATGGGGAGGAGCCTGTGATGGATAAAGAAAAGGCCAGGCTGCAGGAGCTGTCCTCTCAATAGTTGCTGGAGAAATGAAAGTGCTGACAGAATTTCCTTTTTTATGAGTGGCTGCAACGTGGGTAGAGGAAGCCCAGAGTGCCTCCTACAACACAGCACAGAAATTGATACTCATAAAGATGACCCTGAGTTTAAAGAGAAAATAGTATGTTCAACCTACTCTGATCATGACGAATGGAGAAATATGTAATATGTTTCAGACCAGATAGATTTCTATCAGAAGTATTTTTTACAGTTTTGGCACTTAAATATAAGCTTGCACAAACACAGAGTGTTCTAGAACACTGACCAACGTGTGCAAATCTGTCTCCAACAATCCTGAATAGTGTGTACAGTACTCAAATGCCCCCCTTTTTAGTATTGCATCCCAAAAGAATGAACACAAAATTCACAAATACTGAGTTCACATTTTTAATGTTTAAAAACTATGTTAACAGAGCAGTTAGAGAACAGGACGTCTTACATTTCTTTATTTACATCACATCCTGAAAAAAAACCCATTTGATTAACTATGAATAGCAAAGTTCGGTGACTTGTGACTCAGTTAAATCACCCATCTGAAATTCATGTACAAGGTTTTTACATGAATAAAACAGTGGTATGCTATACATACTGGACTCAGATGAAATCTAAAATACACGGGACTCTAGAGGGTGGATTACGTACCAAGATTTTCAAGATTCAAGTGTTTGGGGAAAAAATTACTTAAGACAGTCCATGTTGGCGTCAACACTGAAAATAAAAGGCAGACATGCAAGATTTTCAAAATCTTAAAATAATAGTTCTTCTTTTTCCTCTCAAATATGTGCTCATAGTTAATGTTCAGGTTTTTTCCCCCTTTCAAAGATCCCAAAGTTTGGGAAATGCAGCAATTCAATTTTGAAAAAACAAAAAATTCTCCTCCCCAACTTCTGTTTTCATAAATACTGTGAGCGGTCTCAGTGTTAACAATGAAAGAGCATTCTGAAGAAACAATTCATCATTTTGGATATATCTATTTCTATATGACAATAATTTGGGTCTAAATATTCCTTATTTGTAGCTCAGAGAACTATCTTGTAAATAATGGATCTTACTACCAGAATAAGAAATCAATGCAACTATATCTCAGACATTTCTCTTTCTAAACAATTAGGATTTTTAGGTTCCAAGTTTACATTGAGAACTATGTTACCTGGGAGAGAATGTAAATTTTTCAAATTCCCAAACAAAACCACTAATATCTATGAAAACATTTATTCTCAATATGCAGATACTAGAGATTTCTATTTCAGTGTGGATAAACAACTGCAAAAATATACAGCCTCCTATTTATTTACAATATATTTACATACAAATGAAGTATTTCCTACAATAAGCCTCAGCTGCATAGATTCTTCCTTTTAAAAACACAAATTCAAGGCTGTACAGATGGGCCCGGTTCCGCAGCCCTTCCTCCAAGAAAATCTTGAAGGAGAATGTCTGAGCTTTGTGAAATTTATGTTTTTCAGGAACTTTCTCTTTTAGATTTAGTGATATTTTTCCATTATTAGTCACCCCACCCCCAATTTGTACCTAAAAGCTTTATATCATTATGAATAATTCACTGTGTGTATTTTAGAGGAAGTATTTTCTGTTAAAGGACTCTCAGATTTGCCATTCCTCAGGAAAACCATTGATTAGCATTGCTAAATGATATAGTCTGTGTTTTGGAAGTGGCTAGAAGTTTCCTGTGGACTGGAATGGAGGAATTATGTTAATGTTTACACCCTTTGTAAGCCTCAAGCCATTTACACTGATAAACTAAGGGAAACTAATAGCTTTTACTCTAAGACATAAAATTAAATTTGATCATGCCACTGACCTCCTCCTCACCCCACCTAAAGAATGTGCCGCCCAGCACCGCATTCTGATCTACTGACATGGAACTGAGCGCGACATTCTTTTCAGAGCAGTTTGGAGCTCCTTAAGCGTGCAGACCTCTCCGTAGAGAATTCCCTTTAAAAGGAGAACAGGATTGATCACCAAACAATAACCACAAACATTCTGGAGAACTGACTCCTGACACGAATTCAGCATTTCCTGTAAGGTTGCATTTACAAAGGGTGTTTTCTTTTAATTCCCCTCAAAAAACAAACAAACACAAAACCTCACTGTCATTTCTTCAGTTTTAAAAAAAAAGTAACCTCATTGTGCCTGAGCCCACAGTTCCGCCCGAGTGCAGGCAGCCTTCGTGTACAATTGTGCAGCTGCACCAGCATCTCCAGCAGAGGCGCTCCTGCTGCGAGGCCCTTTCCTCCCCTGCCCGGTTCCTGGTTCCCATTTCCTGCCTCATGGGTCCTAGGAACCATCCTCTGAGGTAGGACTAGGGGGGAAAAGGAGAGACTAATTGGCTGAGAGTGGTTCTCAAACTTGATGTGCCATGATCAGCTGGAGGACTTGTTAAAACACAGTTGGCAGGGCCCCCACTCGAGACTTTCTGATTTTACTAGGTCTGGGGTGGGGTCTGAGAACTGGCCTTCCAACAAGTTCCCAAATGCTGCTGATCTGGGGACCACACTTTGAGAACCACTGGCTTACGGGCTTGAGACCAACACTAGAAAGAAGTCAGTGCTGGGGTAACTGAGGTGTCCTCTGAGATACTGAGGAATCCCACCGCAGTCCTTTGTCTACCCCAAGCCCCATGACCATCACCCATGTGCGCCTTTCTCAGCAGGGTCTGCAAATGTCAAAGAGGAAAGTGGGTAGAGAGCTTCGTTACCCCCATCTGATGACTGGGCAGGTAAACCAAGGTTTACTAGCACTAAACCCATTCAAAGTGCTGTGTGCTGGCTTCAAGGACTGGCATATGGGAGAAGCTGTGCAGCAACCTCCTCCTCTGTAGCAGTCAGGGAAGGAGATAAACTTATAGGAGCAAAAGGTCCTGCAAATAGAAGCAGGCAGGCCAAGCCTGAGATTTCCAGAGATAAGAAAGGGTACCAGCTGAGGCACGTCCCTGGTGGTTTATAACCCACAAGAGGCCCCCTCATCTCCCCTCACCTCCTTCTACCACCAGGTTCTCTGCTGGTCCTCAACTATTTCCTCCCCTCCTTTACTGGAGACCCTGCATCAGGCTACTCTGGTCACCTTTAACTGGTGGCCGCCCTACCCCCACCATCCAGCAGGTGGTGTGTGGCTGGGTGGGCAGTCCAGATTCCACAACAGGAGTGACATATTCTTGGCAACTCTAAACAAATATCCCCCAGAAACAATGTTATATTTCATGGTTAGGTTCTTTGCCAATCTTGTTATATTATCCTATTTCAGATAAACTATAGGTTTGGTCATCTTTTCTAGCTGGTCTGGGGGCCTACCCACCATGTATAACCTGGTTTCTAAAGGAAAATACATTCCAGGTTGCCAACAACCAACTGACGGAATTTTGCAATACAACCTGCTTATAAATCGGGGACAGCCTGTGCTTCACAAGGCAAGATTTCTTTCCTAGACACACTTAACTGCCCCCATTTCCAAAAAGTAACACTGAAGAAATCAGGGATTTATGGTATTCTGTGTTATAGTAACTAGAGAACAGTTCTAAATCCCAAGTCTGAACTGGCACCGTTCACTAGTGCCGAGATCCTATTTACCAAAGGAAAACGTGCTGCTCCCAGTGGCTAAGGTCGAATAGTCTTTAATCTACTAATTTAGCAGAAAAACTTCTCTAGCACTTGACTGGTTTCCCTAACATCTGTGATACATGTACTTTTGGCTACCAGTTCACTATTCTGAACAAGAATAAGAGCAGTACACTTGACAGCTAATCCCACACAGATGACGTCATTAATCAGTGATACTCAACAAATTATGGTAGGGTCTGTTGTATTCAGTCAACAATAAACTTAGATAAACATACAAAGATCTTAAAAACCCGTGGTATCACAGACATCAACAACGATGTACCTCCTCCTCTAAATATATCTCAAATAATAAAAATTCCTTGCACTGATGTATAAAATCTAGAGATCCAAAAATATCACTACACATCCCAAGAGTTAACGACAATTTTCTAAATTGACTTTGTGAGTGTAAAGTGGATTGTTATAAATTAATGAGGAAAATAGAAAGTAGCATAATATAGATTGCAAAATAAATTTTCACATTTTTTTTTTAAGAAACGGTCATCCCACCACCTGACTCTTTCATTACGTGGTGCTCTAGACAAGCCCCTAAGGGCCAACCAACTTGTTCTGCTCAGTTTCTCTCCCTGCTCATCTAATATAGAAGACGCTGCTGAGAAGGATGGAGATGGCAGTGGATTCTCCTAGGTTAGGTCCTCACATATAGGTAGGTATTTATCTTTAAATCCCTGAACTCCGACCTAACGTGGATGCAATTCTGGAGCATTACATTAAAAGCTATGATGATCCTACCAAGAAATGCAGGAAACAACCTTTCCTTCTCCCCCAAGAGGATCATGACAAGATGCTCCATTGCCTACCTTTTCTATGGGACATTAGTCTGTAAAGGGGAGGGGACAGTTCCGTGTGACTCCCAGTGAGTGTGGAGGTCTTTGGGGGATTTGAATGGAGGAGGAACAGAACCCAGAGCTAAGTGCCTGGAAACTCTGCCAAGAGTCTGCGGTTAGATTCTGCTTATCTCTGGATAAGAAAGCTGTGCTCGGTGAACTTACGTGTTTGAGAAATTCAACCAGGATGCAGATGAAACAGAAGGCCTGTTTCAAGAGACCAGCTCACGAAGCACACACATTTCCTACTGTGGGATACGGACAATCCAAACACAGGCGATGGCCCAGCTTAGTGGGGAGACGGTTCTGGGTTTCTTTACTGTCCCCCATTCTTTTCTAAGCTACCTGGTCCCAAACTCTCTTCTTTTTCGGTCTCTGTGTGGTTTCCTTCCACCCCCTTTAGGAGAGGGGCTGCGAGGCAGCTCTGTCCTCCCATGTGGGTCACATCAGGTGGGCAACAATGACCCATGCCTGCGTTAGGGACGAGAAGAGGAAACAGCACAGCCACCAAAGTCCCTATCTGGGGGAAGAAAGGTACACAGCGATTTCATCACAAATCCTTCTCAAAGACCATCTCTGAGGTTCCTTTTCTTTTTCTTTTTTTCCCAAGACTCTGGATGGATTTTTAATGGAGAAGAAATAGGAATGAGGCTTATTTAACGTACAAAAATCTCGTATTTGTAATAACCTAAATTTATAGATATAAAACAAGTCTTTTAAAGACTCCCTTATAGTACCCAATATAAAACAGGAATTACTTATCTTAGATCATCCTTGGTTAGATACACATTATTCTCTGTGCAAAAAGCTGGTGGACATGAGTAAAAGCTACTGAGTTCATAATTTGATAAAATGTTTTTCCCCCTTCAACAACACAGGTGTAGGCCTGAAGGCTCTCTGAATCAGAGGAACACTGTCTTAGGCATTTTTGCTGTACTCTTGCTTCTCCATTTATTACAAAGGTGTCATAGGTCTCCCCTGGTAGAAGTTGATTCAGATTAGAGTAACTTTGACACAAGTTGCCAAGAGGGAAACAAAATTTCACTTGCTAGATTACCCAAATGTGTAGTTTAGCATATTTACCAAGGTAAGAATCATTCCACCCCTTTCTCAGCTGAGAGCGCTCGCCAGAGAATGTCTCTGCGTGGAGCAGGATGTAGTATGAGCGAGGCCACTGGACGGCCGAAGCTCGGCTGCCAGGTGATGAGAGCTGCCTCAAATATTGGGCATACTCTGATCCAGCAATGACACACGCCCTGTGACTCTCATATGATTATCCCTGTGTGCTATGTTAACCAAAATAGGCAACTTATTTACGAAACCATTCTTTTTTCTATAAAGCAAAATAAATATATACAATTCAAGACTCTTTTCTCTTCTAAAAAGTACAGATAGTGTGAGCTGAACATCAGTAGGAAAATTATTTCCGAATCTGGATATATAATAAATAAACATGATTGACGACCATGTGTTCAAAGTTCTAAGAGACCATGAAGTCACGAAAAACAGAGTTAGGAGAGTGAAAAAGAACTGATTGTGAAAAACATTAGGAAATATGATTGCATGAAATTTGAAAAAAAAAAAAATCCATAATCCTTAAATGGATCCCAAATCTGAAGGACATGAACGATTATAGAAACAGGTCTCTGTTTTCCTACCAAAGTGTTATTCCATTGTGTATCTTTTAAATTTCTGTTTGCTTCTGTAAACTTGCAAAAGAAGTGATGAGGGGTTGCTGACGTGTGGTGACTTGACTGAGCAGCAGACCGGAATCCTTCCTTTTCTCGGCTGGTCTCAGTGGCCTTCGTCACTATTCGATGAGCAGGCCCAGTCGTAGATGACCAAGGGAATGCTGACCAGGGAAAACAACACCCCCAGACCCAAGAACAGGGCAGCCTGGAGCAACAGAAAGCATGGGTTACTTCCCATCTGCACCTGGGAAAAATAGCAATGCTTTCCCCCTCCTTTTGTGTGCCCTTGTATTTGGCGTTTGTTACAACCATTGCTGAACTGTGAGAATCTTTCTAAAATGGTGTGAATTTGATTTTCCAAGGATGGGAAAATAAGCAAGCTAGACAGAACTGTCCTCCACATTCTGTTCTTTGACTCCATGGTCACCTCAGTGCGAATCTGTTCTACAGCTGACTGGGTCTCCTTACAGCTTCTTTTGAACTAAGATCACAACTGGAAAAAATAATGGGCTTCGAAAACACGGAGGTCATTTCGTTACTCTTTACCAACTAACCTAGGTTATCGCTGGCAGGCAAACGTCTGTTTGAATAAGTGGAAAAAAGATACAGAAAAGCAAAGCAGGTTTGATCACGTGAAATAGGAAATGAGTATCCGAAACTAAGTTACTTCAAGGATTGATGAAGGCCACAGGGGATAGGTTACTAAATCCAGAATCTGGAGAACACAAGATGATAAATTGCTTGGCCTGGAGAATATCCAGTGAGAGCTTTGCAGGGAGAAGGATGAAGCATCATGAGAGCCAAGGGGGCTGGGCTGGAATCTGGAGGGGGAGACAGAGCTAGGGGAAGGAGACTAGGCCAATGGTGGGGTTGAGAGGGTTGCACACGGTCTGACCCTCATGGGTCTGGTCTAACTCCCAGTGGGTTTCCACATGGACAGGAGCCCTTGTCTAATGTTCTTGGGTAGCTCCTACTACCAGCTTTATTACGGGAGCAGGGTTGGAGAGGCCCAGAGAATTCATGGGCAACAGGTCTCCACCACTTTCAGCTTTAATCGTAGTATACTTTACTGCTGTGCCAGAGTGACTGCTCTTTCCTCTCTGTCCTTATGAAATCCCCCTGCTGGTAAAAGAGAAGGATTTGAGATTTATGGCTTCAGGGATAATCCTGTTGGGGAAGTAGATGCTCTACCAGCATCAATGCAGCTGCTTCTAAAGGCACAGGGATGATCCCTCTTGCCTACATCTCTCATCCCAGTCTATTGACTCAGGTGATGTGTGCGACTGGGGTGCTTACACTATCTGGGAGGGCAGGTGAGAAGCCTTCTTCGAGGCCAAACATAATGGTGCTCCAGAAGGTACTCATGTAGCAGCCACTTCACCCCTGCTTCCCTCACTGTCTCCAAGTGCACCACCTTCAAGATGCCCTTGAACTTCACCAGACCTGGAAACAAGAATCCCAATATAGAAAGATTTCTGAATCCAGGTCTGTTGCTCCAAAGCATTTCTGTCAAATCCTAAAAAGACTCTTTAAACTAACCTGGCCATTTTTTTTGTATGTGTGAGGAAGATCGGCCCTTAGCTAACATCTGTTGCCAATTTTCCTCTGCTTTATATGTGGGACGCTACCACAGCATGGCTTGATAAGCGGCGTGTAGGTCCGTGCACAGGATCCAAACCTGGGCCACCAAAGTGGAGGATGTGAACTTAACCACTACACTACCGGGCTGGCCCTAACTCAGTCATTTTAATTAAGGCATCGCATGTTCCCTGGGCTGTAGGAAGGAGTTACATGACTAGGAATCATACACAAACAGTGGATTGCATAAAATCTTTCAGTCCTTCTCCATTTCATATTTTGCTAAAGACATGGCATCACCCTATAGAGACACAAGATGAGAAACGTCTAGTCTCCCAGCTGGCTCCCTAACTCAGAGCAAAGGCTAAGGCACGATAAGAGCAAAATCTGAAAAGATATTTTGAGGGAATGGAGAAGATGCTGGTATGATATTTTAAATCTCCCAAATGGGAAAACTACAGGACTGCTGCCTACCTTCGAGGCCACTGAAAGTAGTATTAGATGGTGGAGACAGACAATTTATCGGGTAAATTTAAATGAAAAACTAATCAGAAAAATTGGAGTGGCTGGCAGGAGACATACCCAAATTCTTTGAGTTCCTTTATCTCCATCCTGGCTTGTGATTTTTAAATAAAGAGATGAAGGAAGAATGAAAATAAGCATATTAGCAGATGTAACTCCTGCAAAACAAGAAAAAACAAAAGGTTGAGGTTGTTGTGAAATTTTAGCTTTCTAAACAGCTGTTGTAGAAGATAAGTGTTAGGTGAGAAAGCCATACCTACGACTCCAAATATATCCTTCATGGAGGGTATGAAGATCACCAACAAGTTGATAATAACCAAGAGTAGGCAGGTCACCAAGACGTGACGACATAAATTAAACTTTGTTTTCTTAGCCAGTTCAAATAAAGAGGAACGAACCTGCAAGAAAAGAAAACAAAGATTTGGTAAGGGCCGACAGCATGCCAACATTCACATTTCCCAGCAGTGTGACGGATATATTGGTGCACAGAAATTTGTGAAATGTTTTGTAAAACCTACTGGAGTTATAGATAGCTTAACAGTTTGGGAGGCCGGGGGCTTAAGAGGGAAAGTATTTTTATTTATGGCTGGTAGTTTTCTTTTGTGGGAGGGATAATTTCTGTTTTTGTTTTATCTATGATTGAGTGTTCTCTTCTGGTCCTTCCACATTCTCCTGTCATGTATGATGGAGATTCAAACATTCTATTTACATTTCTCTGTAAAGAAGAGGAACCGGTAAATTAGCATTAAGACGCATTCCATCAGGAGGCTACCCTAACTCAGTGATCCCACTTTCTTCCTGAAGAGCCTTAACCGAGTCGTGGGCTCCTTCCCCGGTGCCGTTTCAATGATGCAGGAAGGTTACCCGCAGTAGGCTTTCTCTGCAACGAGCTCCTGAGGCAGAAGGAAAGGGGAGCCCTCCGCTTTTCTCAGATTGCACTGAGGCCTTTTACTCACCGTGAAAAATAACACCGGCACGGTGAGGATGACAGCAACAATGACAGCCAGCCGCACTGTCAGGATGAGAATGTCATCTTTGCTCTGGTACTTGTGAAGGAGGTCTGACTGCACATTTTCTAAAATGAGGGAAAAGTAAGAGGGTGTTAAAAAGAGACAAAAGCACATCAGTGAACGACAGTTTTTCTGAACAACAGAGAATTTGTAAACGAAGGGGCAAGGAGAGCAATGTTTTGGGTGTTGAGTGTCTGTTAAAACAATTTGTAAAGCTGAAAAGAAAAATCTCCTGTGTGAGACATGCTCCACCTGTCCATATGTAACTTTAGCTAACAGGAATTTATAGCAATCGGTCCAAGAAGCTACACACAGTGCGGATGCTTAATTTATACTAAATTAAACCTAGGAGTAAGTTGGAATTAAAAATAACATACAGCTGAAGCACAAAGCCCTTCTTACTCTAGATTTTTCCCTACTTGGTGCCACTCATCAACACCACCAAACAGCCACAGCCTTGCTGGGTGGACTGCAGGCCACTCGGAGCCTCTTTCAAACTCTTCTAACTCAACTTCCAGTGGCTGAGCAGCAGAGGCACTAACGGAAGCTTGTCACCATCAGGAAATAATTCTTCTCTTCCAGGTATGTTTCTTACCATAAAAACATTTAGCTTATGTACGACTTTGAACTTCTTCTCAACTCCGAACTTCAGAAAGTGTTATTTCCAGAGATAACCAAAGCTAGCAAGGCAGCCACGGAGCATGAAAATGCTCAGTCCTTTGACAAGAGACCACTCTCTCCCTCCCCCGCTGTCTCTCCTTTCATGGGCTTCTCATGGTGCCAGTCGAAGGTGTCTAGGTGGGAATTCCAGCTCTAGTCTATGCCATAGATTGGTCTCAGTTTTGGAAGAAGGACCTTAGGTTATAATAAAATCTCATTCATTCTAATTTCCTTGATTCAAAATTCATAACCATTTAAAAATAGCTGAGCCTTTTTCTTTAACTTAAGAGTATAAAAGGGTTTGGTATTCTCTACGAAAAAAAAAATGGATTTGCAAAGAAAAATCAGAGCTTGAACAAGATAACAGTGAGACTGTCCAACTAACATTAAGCTTTCTCTCTTCTCTCCCTCCCCTCACCCATTCCCAGCCCTGCAACTCTGCAGAAACTTAGAAACACCACTTTTATGCAAAAATTAAATGTGGTATTTATGGATTCATTAGACAACGCTATCCTCCATTGCTTGTGAAATGGTAATAAAACAATTGTATAATCATGGGTAGCCTTTCTTTCCAGGCTGAATTAATAATCTAGAAATGTATTTAAATTTTGAGACATTTGTGTTTATGAAAAGAAATGCCCCAAAGAAATATTATTTAATGGAGAAGAATGTGAAATATATGTATTTAAATTTAAATTAGGTCCCCTATTATAATGATAATAAAGGATGCTAACTAAAGCTGCAGGATAATTTGAACAGGATAGGATGAAGAAGTAGTAAAAGAAAGTCAAGCATTCATACAGGGTCAATAAAAGTTACAAATGAGCCCTTGTTCTCTTTTTCAGATTTCATTTCTTTTAACTTTCTATGTCATTCCTTCAAATCTTTGCAAGGCTCCAAGTTCCGGTGAACAATTAAGGGTTTTATTTTTAATTAACACGGAGTGTCATGAGGGTGGCACTCTGGTTTTTCTCACTTTCAACATCTGTCTCTGTCTCTCTTCTATTAATGGAATCTGACCCAATTCGCAACAGCAATTAGGAAAGCCTTCTCTGATATAGTTTGAAACTTTCCTCAGTAAAGGTGGCATGCTTATAAAACGCAATTTCTTTTAAGGACAGTGTTAGGAGAAAAAGCGCAGTACATCGTTTCAGTAAGTATTCCATTGTGCAGTCTGCATGAATATGTAAAGGGAACCCTCACCATTTGCTTTAAGTAAAAGAGACCAGCAAAAAACAATAGATTTGTTGCTTTTTTTGGCTATCATGTTAAAAGTTATTTTGACATTGAGTTTTACTAATTTATTTACAAATACCTCTATTTATGTACTGACAGAAATGACTTACCATAGAATGTCAAGTAGCCAAAAATGGCTGTCAAGAAGTACATAACGAACATGGCGAAAAAGGAGATATTTGAAACCATCTGCATCTTTTTCTGTGATCGACTAAAAACAAAGATAAAGGAATTTGAAAAGTTAAAAACCACATGACTGAATTTAAGCATCAGTGTTAATGCTGCAGAATACTAACCACTTTCTATCAGGCTAGGGCAGCCCTGACCAGCTGAAATTACCCCTGCAGTTAGGCCAGTTTAGATAACTTCTTTTGTACTGATTGGTATTGTGAGAGAGAGGTCCGCGAACTAACAATTCTTTGAGTGTTCTTCCCCATTCTTTTGAAAGAATATGGAGTTCTCATCTGAAGGGCAGAGAGTATTTCTTAATATTTGTGTTTGATATTATCTCCACACTGAGCCTTCAAATTCTGTTCTCCCAGCCCCAGAGATCAAGGGGAGAGCTGGAACGTGACCTCAGATGTTCTGTTGCTAAAGCTGCTATTGAGGTGCCAGTTTTCCCGTTGCGGAGCCCCAGGGATGCACCCACAACTCTATACGTCTGCAGAGCAATAAGCACCCAAGAGATCATGGCTGCGATGGTGAGGGGCTCTATGTCTTAGGTCAGGTGTACTCTGGGAGTTTGGATGAACATTTAAGTTTCTTTAACTTACCCAAATAACTAATCTACCAGACTTGTACCCAATAACAGACCACAAATAGTCATAACATCTGGTTGTGTCATAACAGGGAGTATAGAAAACAAGAAAAATGAGAAGTACACACGTGAGGAAATTACAGACTAACGACTGGACTATTAAATTTAAAAGATGTCAAAGATATTTAAATACCCTAAGTATAGGATCATAAAGTAGGACTGATGTACACATAGGTAGATGTAGATATTTCAAAATTTACCCAGATATCAATTAAATATGAAAGAGAAAGAATCATGAATTCAATAGTAAATGACATCAATTTTATTTGTGTTTCAAAATAGAAATAGGTAGCTTTACTGTGTATCTTTTTGGAGCTTAAGACTATGCCATAATGACTATTTTTATATAGGAAGTCTGATAACAGGAGGCTAAAAAGAGAACCCATGAGGAAATTTATAAGCAGGCCTCTAGCTTTCTCCAGAACAGCAATCAAAAACAAATCCGTAGGGGGCCAGCCCGTGGCCGAGTGGTTACGTTCGCGCACTTTGCTTCGGCGGCCCAGGGTTTCACCGGTTCAAATCCCTGGCACGGACACGGCACCGCTCATCAGGCCATGCTGAGGTGGTGTCCCACATGCCACAGCTAGAAGGACCCACAACTAGAAATACACAACTATGTACCCGGGGTCTTTGGGGAGAAAAAGGAAAAATAAAATCTTTAAGAAAAAAAAAAACCACAACAAAACAAATCCTTAAAATCATCTTAATAGTTTAGAATGAACAACAATATTCTTCTGTCTAGCTTGTGGTTTTAAAATTGATTTCTTTCTGCCTGATTTACCAGCCTTTTCCACCTAAACCAATAGACACATCAGACACAATGTATTTAGCAGTTTATAGATGAATCTGAAGATGATTATTATCTATTTGCAAAATAAGAATAAGCAACATAAAGCAGCACAAATACTTGAACTCTCTTAAGTAATATAGTATTTGAAAAACCAAATTAACCAAAGAAGCCCCTATAGTTGGCCACTTTATATCTTTATGGCCAAAATATACTGCAGGTTTCTGATTTTCCTTGCTCCTTTTTTTTCTTAAAATACAGTCCTTTCTAAAGAATGGCAGAAAGTAAATCTTGAAGCTGGGTGATGAGTCTGCAAGGGCTCATTATACTCGTCCGTTTATTTTAATACAGTACTTGCCTGTTAATGAGGGGACGTGAAATGTTAAGGTAAAGAAATTAAACAAATCGCTTACTCTTTAAGCTCACTGTAAATTGGCAGGATTGACGGGTGGCAGACAAATGCAAATGCAATAGTTGGTAAAGCATACACGGTCTATTTGAAAGAAAAAAAAGAAACATTAAGAAAAGGCATTTTTCCCATAAAAATAAAACAGCTTCAGTATTTCTGAGCTGTCTTTTTGTCTGACAGCTCTTCAGATCCCCTGGATTATTTGCTTGTTAGGAGGGCTTTGATACCTAAAAGAGGAGCAGCTTTGCTAAGAGAGCTTATCTAGCTTGAGACATGAGGCACATGGCACAGAGAGGTTTTAGATCCGGCTCATCTGCAGCGTAGTTTACATACTTCAAGCACAGCGTCACCCCATATTTTTATGGTGCTAGCCGGTTACACAGCACTTTTCCTACATTATCTCACTGAGTCCACAGCAACCCTGAGCAGTAGACAGACCATTGCTCTTCTCCAGACTCCCTCCAACAGGTTAGGTGACATGCCCAGGATTTCCACCTCTATTTTACTGCTCTTTGCTCTATATAGAGTGCATTAAATCAGGCCTAAAAGATGGCATCTAAAAAGAAAATTACTTCCACATTCACTACTTTGGCTGTATCCTTAGAGCTTAGAGAGAGAGAGATGGAGCGATCTATTTAGTTTTCTTAGATAAGACTTTTTAAAACCCTCAAACTCAATATAACTTCTTACACAAAAAGAAGCTGGCGGAGAAGGAAGGAAAAGTAACATTTCTCATGCTTTAATTCTGCTGCAATACCGTACCAGGCACATTCTAAAAAACCCTGTAAGGACACAGGGATGGTTCAACATCCACAAATCAATCAATGTGATATACCACATTAACAAAATGAGGAACAGAAACCACATGATCATCTCCATGGACACAGAGAAAGCATTTGACAAGATCCAACATTCATTTATGATAAAAACTCTCAATAAAATGGGTATAGAAGGAAAGTACCTCAACATAATAAAGGCCATACATGACAAACCCACAGCCAACATCATCCTCAGAGGGGAGAAACTGAAAGCCATCCCTCTGAGAACAGGAACAAGACACGGTGCGCACTCTCACCACTCTTATTCAACGTAGCACTGAAGGTTTTGGTCAGAGCAATTAGGCAAGAAAAGGAAATAAAAGGAATCCAAATAGGTAATGAAGAAGTGAAACTCTTGCTGTTTGCAGATGACGTGATTTTGTATATAGAAAACCCTAAAAAAGTCCATCGGAAAACTATTAGAAATAATCAACAATTACAGCAAAGTTGCAGGGTACAAAATCAACTTACAAAAATCAGTTGCATTTCTATACTCTAATAATGAACTAACAGAAAGAGAATTCAAGAACACAATCCCATTCACAATCACAGCAAAAAAAACAAAATATATTGGAACAAATTTAACCAATGAGGTGAAAGACCTATACAATGAAAACTATAAGACATTATTGAAAGAAATCAATGATGACATAAAGAAATGGAAAGATATTCCATGCACATGGATTAGAAGAAGAAACATAGTTAAAATATTCATACTTTCCAAAGCAATCTACAGATTCAACACAATCCCAATCAAAATCCCAATGACATTCTTCATGGAAATAGAACAAAGTATCCTAAAATTCATATGGGGCACAAAAGACTCCAAATAGCTACAGCAATCCTGAGAAAAAAGAACAAAGCTGGAGGCATCACAATCCCTGACTTCAAAATATGCTACAAAGCTATAGTAATCAAAACAGCATGGTACTGACACAAAAACAGGCACACAGATCAATGGAACAAAATGAAAGCCCAGAAATAAAACCACACATCTACAGACAGCTAATCTTCAACAAAGGAGCTAAGAACATATAATGGAGAAAGGAAAGTGTCTTCAACAAATGGTGTTGGGAAAACTGGACAGACACATGTAAAAGAATGAAAGTAGACTGTTATCTTATGCCATACACAAAAATAAACTCAAAATGGATCAAAGACTTGAAGGTAAGACCTGAAACCATAAAACTTCTAGAAGAAAATATAGGCAGTACACTCTTTGACATCAGTCCTAAAAGGATCTTTTTGAATACCATGTCTATGCGGACAAGGGAAACAAAAGAAAAAATAAACAAGTGGGACTTCATCAGACTAAAGAGCTTCTACAAGATAAGGGAAACCAGGATCAAAATGAAACAACAACCCACCAACTGGGAGAAAATATTTGCAAATCATATATCCGACAAGGAGTTATAATCTCCATAATATATAATGAACTCACACAACTCAAGAACAAAAAAATAAACCCAATCAAAAAATGGGCAGAAGATATGAACAGACGTTTCTCCAAAGATATACAGAAGGCCAAAAGGCACATGAAAAGATGTTCAACATAACTAATCAATAGGGAAATGCAAATCAAAACTACACTAAGATATCACCTTACATCTGTTCAAATGGCTATAATCACTAAGACAAAAAATAACAAATGTTGGAGAGGATGTGGAGGATTCCCACTGCTGGTAGGAATGCAAACTGGTGCAGACACTATGGAAAACAGTATGTAGATTTCTCAAAAAACTAAAAATAGAAATACCATATGACCCAGCTATCTAACTCCTGGGTATCTATCCAAAGAACTTGAAATCAACAATTTAACCTGACTTATGCACTCTATGTTCACTGCAGCATTATTCACAATAGTGAAGACATGGAAGCAACCCAAGTGCCCATCGACCGATGATTGAATAAACAAGATGTGGTATATATACACAATGGAATACTACTCAGCCATAAAAAGGGAAAAAATCGTCCCATTTGCAACACCATGGATGGACTTTGAGGGTACTATGTTAAGCAAAATAAGCCAGACAGAGAAAAACAAACACCATATGATTTCACTTATATGTGGGAGATAAACAAAACATGGACAAAGAGAACAGTTTAGTGGTTACCATGGGGAAGAGGGGTAGGGAGTGGGCACAGAGGGTGCACTGACACATCTATATGGTGACTGACAAATAATGTACAACTGAAATTTCACAATGTGTAAACTATCATTACCTCAATAAAAAAACAAAACAAAAAACCCTGTAAGATACAGAAGAGAATCCTCATTTTTATACATAGGGTTGGGTAACTTGCCTGAGGATTCAAATCGAAGCCTGACCAGTTCCATAGGCCACTCTGCCCCATACTATTAAAAACATCTCAATAGTAGGAAAATTCCTTGAGTGACAATTTGTGGTGGAATCTATAATTCAACTGTGCAAGCTGGGAAAGTCTGTCTATTCTTGTCTGTCACCACGAGGGGAGAAGCAGTGGGCTACGGACGGTATTAATCTGTTTTTAAAGATCTATAAGGAAGAGAAAAGCTGAGACAATTACCCAGAAAGAGATTTTCAAAGAGAATGCTTAAGGTTGTCCTCCATGTAAACTGGGTGAGAAGGAGCAGGAACTATAATATTTGTATATTTCTCAAAGGTCTCTAAATGGACCGTGGAATTTGGAAACTATGGTACTATGTTCTTTTGAGAACAAATACATTCAAAACAATTTAATTATACCAAGTATGAAAAATATAATGCCCTTACTAAAAATGCTTTTTTATATTTAAAGGATAAGGACACCGACCTTTGAATTGAAGGTAACATATTTTGGAGTACACATGTCAGCATTTGTTGAATTAGCGCTTGTTGAATTTAGCTCTGGAACAACGCAGGGCATTTGAAATTTCTTGTAGATAACCTGGTATTAAAAAATATAGGAGAAACAATATCGACTTTATCAAATAAAGCCACATAATGAATAATTATTACAAGGCATTGTACTATGGCAAAACCAAACCAGCCACTTCAATCAGCACTTACCACTATTAGGAAAAAAACCATACAGCTCAGGGAAAATCCACTAGTATAGCCAAGATACCCTAAAAAAAAAGGTAAAAAAATTATTTCATCCATCCATCGCCTTGTTTCTTTTAATGCAGTGTTTCAAGCATAGTTTGGGGTTCCAGTAATATACAACATCCATGCCAATGTGAAGATTTATTATTTGATAGTGTTACTTGATTCAGCAAAAATGGTGACTTTAAATAAAACATTATATTATATTTTGATTCCAGTTCTCTCTGATACACTAGAGAATGCAGATTCCCAGGATCCAGGGAAAAAGAGCCTCTTAAATTTGGCCATAGCTCTCTGTTGCTGTGCTCTGATGGATTCCTATAGTAAAATCCATTTACCCTTGATCCGCTCGATGGTTCTCTATCATGCACTTGTGTGCATACTGAATATCAGCTACGATATTTCTCTTCCCAGATGAGGGGCATGCACAGAGGAGATGAAGGGACTTCTGGGGATAAACTGAGCATCTGGGGATCTTTACCTCGCTCCCCTCAGAATGCCTGGCAGACCTCCAACTACCGTAACCTCCAGCAAGGCAGAGTTAAGTGGCCTCTGGGGGGGTTGCCCCATTCTCAGCCCTGGGGGAGACGAGCCCTTCTCTACTTCAGCTGAAAAGAGCTCCGTGTAATACAGAGAGAAGCCGAAACACAATCCAGAAAATTAAGTAGTTAAAAAAAAAATCTACTTATAGACCTTACAGAACAGCTACAGAGGCTTGATATTTTTTGTACAAAACAGAACAAAAAACTATGGTTAGCAACCATTTCGGGAAGAACCTTAATCTAAATGTCTGCCTTGAATTAGCCCAGAATTAAAGGAAATGCATCTCAGGGGCTTTGGACTGGACAGCAACTAGTCAGTGTGTGAAATTCCCAGAACATCAGGCACACTTGTCTCTGGATAGAAGCACACACACTAACATCTCAAAACCAAATGGATATGACTTAGTGATTATCCACCACTTCTGAATTCTCACTTCTCTGTCCCCCTTCAATGAGGCCAATAATTGAGATTGGTTAGACTTGTAATTTAAGAGTGATTCATAATACTTTTAGGTATGAATACAAGGCAACTTTCTGTCTTGATAGTAGATTTGAAAATTCTACTTGTTTAAATACTCAGGGTATTTAAGACCTTGTATGAGGAGAATTTGATTTTCTGGGCTTTTCTGAGAATAGTCTGTAAGTTGTTCTATTGGAAATAGCACTGTCTGTTACTGCCCCAGAACCTTCCTTGTCTCCTCCACAGCTCAGCAGAGGGACTGCTTAGGAAGTTACACACTGACCAGTGTTTTTATCCCATATTAAAGTCAAGCTTGATTAATACTTGTAATTTATCATTCACTTATCTTTATCTTACAAGTAGAAGCACAAGGCAAAATTATTCCTTTTTATTAGGTTTCTGATTCATCTGGGCCCTGTGATAAAAGCAAGATCTCGCCTTACCTAAGTTCTTCAAGAGACACAGAGGGAGAATTATGCCAAAGGTAACTACCACCACCAGGACACGGCCATCCACATACCAGGCTCTGAAAGGCATTTGAACGGTTAGGTAGTATTTTCTTAGAAAGTGACTTTTTTTCTCAAATGTAAAATTTCACAATATATTTTAATTAATTTTTTCCTATTATTCATTTTTACCATTAGTTTTTACCATTATTCAGGTTTTATCCCAACACTTCAACCCAAGCACGACTCCTTTTACTATTGTCTCTCTCCCATGGGAGGGAAGAAGGGCTAGTTAGGGTTTTTCCTCCCACACTGGCTGAATGTGGCATTCCTTTGAATTATTTACGTGGTCTCAAAGCTAAATGCACACATTGCATTCTGTCAGATTACAACTTATCTTATCAATTATTTAAAGAGAGAGTTCCTTTTTGTTTTGCTTGGCTAAAATCATTGGGAAACAAGTCACCACAGGTAGGCATGGCTTTCTCCCTGATCTCTTGTATTTGACCTTGAATCCTGAGGCTAGAACACTAGGAATTCTGGCTGCTACGATTCTCCGTTGAAAGAAAACAGAGAAACTAAGACTGACAAAAATTGTTAAACAAGAGGGAGGGAAAACACAATGAGTGTGCTGAATGTAGCTGCAGCATTTTCCAGAGTTCCCTACATCTTCGGTGAGGTTGGCTCATGTAAATTTTGCCCCCAAAATGCTATGTCCTTTCTTTAAGAAAGAAGATGGGGTCTTAACTTTTTTGCATGTTCCACTTCTGTGTTAAAAATATCCCATATCTTGGGGCTGGCCCCGTGGCGGAGTGGCTAAGTTTGTGCGCTCTGCTGCAGGCGGCCCAGTGTTTCGTTGGTTCGAATCCTGGGCGCAGACATGGCACTGCTCATCAAGCCGCGCTGAGGCAGCATCCCACATGCCACAACTAGAAGGACCCACATCGAAGAATATACAACTATGTGCCGGGGGGCTTTGGGGAGAAAAAGGAAAAAATAAAATCTAAAAAAAAAAAATCCCATATCTATCTGTCTATTCCACAGACACTAGATATAGATTTCAGGCTCCTGGGAAAATGCAGTATCTACTGTTTGCAGCATGACAGATGAATCTACCTTTTAAATGCTCACACTCAAATGGTTCTCCTTGCTTCTTTCATTTATACAACAGCCCCAAAGAAATCTATTGTTGAAACAACAAAGAACAAAACAGCCTAGGGAAAAGTTTGTTTCTGTGATTTTCGTAAAACCAAAACTTTGGCTAGCCCACATTTAAATGAAAAATATTTTAGTTATTGTACCAAAAAATAGTCTGTAACTTACGAAAATGTCTCTTCCTTTCCCATTAGAAACTTTATGGCGGAGGGTAGTTCATTTTTGACTATGAAGAGGTAACTGAGCATTGCTGGAGGAAAATGAGAGCATTTTTAGAAAGAGGATACCAAGGCTCGTGTTGCAAGCTATATAAAAGGTTACCAGTCTGTTCTTAGACTAACCTTCAAAAAGACACACAGACAGCGTTAGGTACTCTCGCAGTGTACTTTGTTTTCAATAAATGACTGCTGTCTCTGTTTTACTTTCCGTGTGCCATTTTAGCAGTGAGAATGATAACTGCTTGAATGATGCTAAAACCTCCCAACACCAGAATTATGGTGGCCTCCCAAATACCAGAATTAGAAAAGCAACGATGTTTGCCCACTTTAAAATCACATGGGGAAAAGCGCGTTCTTTTTACCTCCAGTGTTCTGTAGAGAGGTCGCTCCAAAGATGACAAGCTTCCCTGTGGTGCCAAAGACCTGTTCTCCCAGCTTTTCATAAACCATGCAGCCTATTTACAAGTCATATTTGAGAACACAAGAAAGAAAGGGTTCTAAAAGTTAAAAAGAGCCAAGATTTCATCATTGTATTGACTATTTCCCAAGTTATTTTGTGTCTTTCTCAAAAATCACACAAACAGCCTTCTTTGCTTTGCAAGTGTTAAGGTATTTTCATTATAAAACAACCTCTTGACATTTTAAAATGTCAGACAGGACCACCATTTCTCCTTTTTTCAGGTTGACTGCAGAAGCATTACAATGAAACTGTTAGGTCATAGGCTTATTTCTCACTACCTCAAAGAGTCTTGCTGCTGTCCTGGGGGGAAATTCCCATTCTGATCTCATTCTCAGGCCTGGTGCATACCATTAAAATAAAGACTTAATTTAAAAACCAAAATTCTCATGGTTGGGATGAAAAGTTCCTTTTGAATTAATTACCTGAAGCTAACAAAGAATTATCTTAATGATATTCCATCAGTGCCTAATATGTCCTAACTATAATAACAAGCCTAGAAACACGTAATAGTCTCAACATCAGAATTCTGCTCATCAGTAAAATTTAGTTCAAATATATGCAACTCACAAAAGAGAGCCGTAGAAAAATCTGTCAAAAGAATAATTTGGCTAAGGCAAAATTCCAAAACGTTCAACTAGCCCATCTCAATAAATACTAAAATTCTAAACCATTCATTTAAAGAAGTGTTTATATTTCTGTATGACAGTTCAGTTCACATTTTCAAAAGGTTCACAGAAAGCAGTCTGGGTCAGGCTATAATTAAACCTTTGTTTAATCTCTCACAAGACTGGTGTTTAAATTAGACAATGGTTAGATCCTCAATTTATTACAAAATGTTCCAGAGAAGTAGACTCATCTATATACAGTAATAGTTGGCCAATGTGGTTTCAGCTAACGTAAAAGTCAAAGTATTACAAACATAATCCAGTGTCCCAGAAATAGAAAATAAACACTTCAGGTGTCACACTGCCCAGAGAACTGGGAGTCTTTTCATAGCACGCTCACTCCCACATTGCCTTGAGAGTCACATTTTCTCCTCAGAACATGCACAAAAGAGAAGAAAAGCTCTGTTTGCTTTCAAAACCTTGGAGGCTATAATATAAAAACATGGGATCCTTATTCTGAATTTATGAAGACCTAAGGAAAGACTGAAGCCTTTAAAACGAAGACATCTTAAACTAGAAAAACAGGCATAATAGAGGGTTCAGTTTAAATGACAATACTATTTGTTCCTTGTTCATGACAATTTAATTTCTATGTTGCTGTATCTATTTCTCTAGGTAAATATCATTACAGGTCTTCCAGGCACTGTAGGTCAGAGTACTCCTTTTCTTTAATAATTAAGTTACTGAACAGAAAGGGTGTCACTTGTTGCCAATATTCCCATGAAAATCATTCACCCTGGTTTTAACAAAATTAGACATATTATCAGCTTACCTGTTTCCTTGGAACAGACCAACAGGAGGTTTATTGAATAGATAGACAGCAGTGTTACTGAAGTCAAAAGGACCCTAAAGGAAAGAAAACGTCTTGTAATAACCAGAAAAAGCATACGCTGACCTTACATTTTAGAAGGGCAAAGGTTTATTTATACAGTTAACATCATTTATTGCTAGTATCCAAATTTTGGAATCTATTAGTCACACCCTCTTTAAAGTCCTCAATAAAAATATTCTACCAAATAAAGAGCTGCTCATTAGAATCTGAGTAACTCTAACAGTTCAAATCCTTTACGTAATTCAAAGCCGAAACAGCTCTCTGGGATCATTTCAGTTGAGATGACTTTCAAACAAGATTATGAAGGGAGCTTTTGTAGTCTACGGTGCACTTTCTGTTACATCCCGGTGAGAAAGTGTGAGAAGGCGGTGTGGGATCGGGGGCGGGGGGGAGGGGTGAGTGGGGAGGCTAGGGAAAGGCATGCAGTGACCCTTAGGCCAGTGACCTTGTGACTTTGGGCAACTTGCTCAATTTCTCCCATCCCTAGATTCCTCACATTTGAGACACAAGCCAAATGATGTCTACAGTTCTTTTCATCTAATCACTTTACTGCTATTTTTGAAACTATACATTGGCCCACTGAAATAATTCACGGTTTTTGCACCTGGTTTCTCTTAAAAGAGTAAGCCCCTCTTTTAACAGATGGGAAAAGTTTGACAATCAAGCATAATGAAAAGACTTTTTTGAATGACGAACTCATGTTTTTGTTTCAGTACATCTGGCTCATTATCAAACCCTACTCAAGAAAAAGCACAGTTAAAATGGTGTGGGAGATTACATAGATTATTTCTGAATCATTTGGTTAAAACAGACATAATAATTGACAATAAAGCCCGTTTGTTAGAAAAGAAAAAATTCCAGTCCCCCAGATGAAACGACTCACTTCCTGACGTAGGGAAATAGATCCCTGGAACAATACATTACTACAATTGATTCCACGTTTGAGTCATTAAGGCAATTATTTTTCTAGCAAATCCTGTTGAGAGGTACCTGGCACATCATAAAATTCTTCCCAACCCCTTTCCCCATCCTGCACACCTGTTGTACCACTGCCCTTGGATCCAGCTCAGACGTCCCCTCCTCAGGTGCCCTCCCTTCCCCAGGTGGATAGACTGCTCCTTAGTTCTCTCATGTCTTACAGCATCTCATTTCTCCTATGTGCAGTGCAGCCACCAGGAGATAAATGGGAGTAAAGAATGGTCCACTGCAGAGCAGATGGACTGCCAGAGATTGGCCAGAAAACAAAAGAGGGATAGGGGGCTGGCCCCATGGCTGAGTGGTTAAGTTCTCGCGCTCCGCTGCAGGCGGCCCAGTGTTTCGTGGGTTCGAATCCTGGGCGGGGACATGGCACTGCTCATTGAACCATGCTGAGGGAGCGTCCCACATGCCACAACTAGAAGGACCCACAACTAAGAATATACAACTATGTACTGGGGGGCTTTGGGGAGAAAAAGGAAAACAATAAAATCTTTAAAAACAAAAAAATAAGAGGGGCAGAGCTCAGCAGAGGTAAAACAAACACTGAGAGAAAGAATAGAAAACCTAACACTTTGGGTGAAGGTCAAACTGACCAGCTAGTAAAGGGGAATTTAGGTTAAGATATGATTGTAAGGAAGTGCATTCAGATATATAGTGACTTAGTTAAGATCCTTGGGTAGGAGGGTGATTAAGAGGGTAAGTCCCTTATTATCTATTCTGGTTGAGGAACACGAGAAACTGAGAGCGAGCATTTGTTAACCAACCCAGTAGTTTTGAGATATGTAATGGAACATGATTTGAGATGCTCTGCCGGAGAATAAGATACAGCACACAATTGTGGTAGGATTTTTATCTTACAAGATAAAGAGTATTTATGTCAAAGAAGCAAGCTTTGAGTTTCACTCAGAGTTCTCATGTCTTGAGGGACACGGAATACTAAGTGGCAACTTCTACATGTGCCTGTGATAGGCCATCGAGGATTTCTGTGTGGCACAGAAGAGCCTGGGCTTCCCATTTGGGGATAGGATGGATGAAATTTTAGGATTAGCCATGTCCTGTTCTGGAGTGACCAGGTGCCCTGTTGAGTCGATTCTCCTGGGACTGACCTGGGGAGGAGAGCCCCTCTCCTGCAGTTATTACCTCTGGGCCCCTGGCTAATGAGTAAGATTATGACCTTGCAGGAACTATGTGCCTACCAGGAGGGATAATTACTAACATATACATAATGATTAACCGAAGGCCCTCAGCCCAGGAGAACTGGGTACTTATTAGCAAAAGAAACATTCTAAGGAGACATCTGTTCCCTCAGCTAGTAGCCCTGGGACCGTGGTTCTTGCACAGGGTTGCCTCTTCACACATTCTACTGGGTTGAACCTCTTTGTAGGTGATGCTCAGCTGGCCTGTGGCCCTTGGCAAGCGGTAAAGGATTTCTTCATAAACTCTCCATATCACCTCTTTTTCATTTCAAGTGGGAGAAAAATGTTTATAGGAAAGATTTTAGCGAGGAGTTCACTTCTCTTCTCCCTCACACTTAACAGCGGAATGAGGTCCTCCCACAGTGATGAAACCAACCCACCTGCTCCCACGTTTAAGAGATCTAACACTGCATCCCAGAAGGAAGGACCTGTTGCAAGAGTCTGATAGTCTTTGCCTTTAACGACCCAATCTCTGAAAACTCTCTCCTCCATCCCTCCCAAAATATAGATCTTCCCTTCAAAGACTGCAAGCTAATATAAAACAAGAAGCTTTTTCTACCAGGCCACTAAGGGGCAAATTCTGTATATCAAATTCTAAGAGTGCTTTAGGCTATAACAGAACCTAGCATTAATGAGATTAAAATTTAGAAAACTATACCTCCTTGTTTAGATTCTTAGAAAGAAGCAACAAGTTGTCTAATTGGCTAAAACAGATCCTAGAATAATTTCAGAGGATCCAGTCAGAGATGTCAGAGACCCAGAAAACATGACATCTAAAATAAAAGGGCAGGAGGAATGACTCGAGAGAACGTAATGACTTAATTTGACCATTTCTTCCATTTTGAAGATTTTGCCCCTATTTGTCCAATTAGGTATTTGTACATAATTGGGGTTTCCTGGAATAAAACATAAGTAGGTATTCCTGTGCTGAGAGGAAAACAAGTGATTCATTTTTTCATTTCATCTGGATATCATGTAAGCTTTCACATTGCTAACCATTGACCAAAAGTTTTAATGTGGTTGGGGCAAAAGCGGCTTGCTGAAAAAGGCATGTTTCAATGGGAACTAAACCTCAGCAATAGGCCATTAAGTTGTCAAGGTGTTGATATTTCAAACTTATGTTCAGCCTTGCACAGAAGGGGATCTAGAACATGTAACTGGACATGGGCCCTGGGGAAGCAGTGGCAGGAGAATGAGTCTTACGAAGGAGGCGGTCAGAAACTTTTGAGAACCCTCATGTCAGCAACACTTGAAAGACATGGTACAGAGACATCCTAGGAGATTTTGTGTCCCCTGAGAAGAAAGAGGCTTCTAGACTCCTGGGTTAGAAAGAAACCGTTAGAGACTAGCTTGTCTTGCTTTTCATGCGGGACAGGAACCCTCTATGCTCCACACCGACACACAGACATCCAGGTCTGCAAAGCGTTTTCTGACAGGGGACACACATGCAGCCCACCCCGTTTCTGGAAAGTGCTAGGCACTGGAACTGAGGCTGAGCTGAAACCGCTGCTGCTGTTTCTACCCTCGGTCCTCCTTTTACCCTCTGGACCTACTTGAATCTACTTGAAATCTAAACTCTCTTCCACCTAACAGTCCATCTGATGGTACTCATTTTAAGATTGCGTTCTTTGACTTAAACATCTCCATTCTTTCAGCTGTTCACCCTGCGATGGAGTGTTCAGGCTGTTTACCCCTCAGTCATGGTCCAGTTTCTCAACCATCCCTTTTAATGGCTGAGTGCCAAGTAAAGCACAATGTTATCACATTAGTTTTGGTCCAAACAATGCAAAGCATGGTAAGATTATTAATTTGAGTTGGACACCATGCTTCTTTTAAGGCAACCTATTTTGGTATCCATTTTTATGGCAGGCATGTCACAATTTTCATTCTTATTGAGCTTCTGGTGCGAACTCCTATTAGGCTAATCTTCCTGGTTCTCTCCCCGACTCCGCCCTTATTTCCACTACATTTTATCTTTCCAGTCTTGTGACAGGTTTTTAAATTGTTGATCCTTTTTACTTATGTATCAACTACCTCATCAAACTTCACATCTTGAGTCTGCCTTCATCCAAGTCACTGGGGTTAACTTTGAATAGAACAAGACCATCTGGAAAGTGGCCCATCATCCAGCCAACTGCTCAAGCCAGAAACCTGGAAGTCATCCTTCATCTCTCATCTACTCTCTCATCCCTCATATCTAATTCATTGGCAAGTAGCCTATCATTTCTACCTCTGAAATATATCCCAAATCCAAGGCTTTTTTTCCATCTCCACTGGTACCACTCTAACCAAGCCACCACCATCTTTAATTTCTGGGCAACTGTGATAATCCTCTTCCCAGTAGCCAGGGTAATCTTTTTATTTTATTGCTTTATTATGTTTTTCTATTACTAGACATAGGACAGGCCACAATGGTTTTGTTCACAGTCATGGCCTGTCCTGGTTACCTATTTACATACCATACCAAACACAGCACATGGCAGACTCTTAGCTAAGAAGAAGTGAATTTACAAATATTAGAACCTCCTATGTAAGTCAGGTGAGCCTATGCCAGATATCTTGCTAAAATCAAGATCCACTCTGCCTAAGACAGTCCTGTGACCTACTCGGTCACTCATCTCAAAAGATGAAGTTAGTTTGGCACGACTATTTAGGAAAACTCTGTTGGCCTCCACAGAGCAATATTTTCTGCTGTAATTGCACATAAACAAGCTATTTAATCCTTTGCTCTCAAATATTGCTTGAAATCGACTTTTTACCACTTTCAAAAGCTGGGATGAAATTTGCCCATTCTCTGGCAATACTCCTGTGCGCCAAGATTTCTTAAAAATTTCTGACAG